TACGAACGTAAGTACTAGTACACACACACACACACACACACACACACACACACACACACACACACACACACACACACACACACACACTGAACCCCTTAAGATCTGACACCCTTTCAGATATCCGCATTAGTCCCTGTAATCTAATTCCTGGCTATCGTCTTACAAATCGAATCATGACACACCACTCATATTCAATATCACCAAACCTCCAGCCTTTTAGTTTGGCCTCTCAAACCACCGTGTAAAAGCTTCATCACGGGCCGCGCTGATGAAATTACCCTCTATTATCCCCCATGTCTCTTTCTCCTTCTCCCTCCAACTCTCACTCCCCACATTCGGTCTTACTTGAAGGAGTGTGCAGATTTAATTTACAGCAGGACTCATGAGCCACTTAGCGCAATCTCTCTCAGTGTGCAAGGATTGATTGATTAGGTCTTATCTTGTTATCTGGGTCTGTGGTCGTCTTGATAGGCCTGTTTGTTCTCTCACTAGTCTTTCTATCTGTATCCCTTTCCTGTATGTAATTTCATGCCTCCGTGTGTGTGTGTGTGTGTGTGTGTGTGTGTGTGTGTGTGTGTGTGTGTGTGTGTGTGTGTGTGTGTGATGGCCTGCAGCTTCTCTGTCTACTTTCCCTCCAATGTGGGAATCAGACACTGATAAGGACGGATTGTCTTGCAAGATCAGAATTAGGAAATTACATGCTTTCCCCGTCGCAGACTCACACACCGTCCTCTCTCTCTGCCGGCAGACTGCGAGACGATATTGTTTCTCAGAATTTGCTCAAATTGCTCGGCTGTAATGGCCGACTAAGTAAATAAAATACTCCACTGACGGCATTTCAGCCGAGAGGCATCAGCATGCTCACTGAGAGCCAACTGTTTCGTCAAGGTTTTGATATGTTACATTAATAGTATTGTTTCCAATGTTTAACAGGTGAGGGGTTTTGTAATCAGACAAAGTACAGGGAGCATCTTAATTATAAGGAATTATAATCATCATTTTTTTTTAAATAGTTGGTTTTATTGGTCCATTATGTGTACATATACAATCATTTGACTCCGGTTTAAGAGAAGATAGACCTTTACTGATCCCCATAGGGATATTCAGAGGTTGTTTTTGGAGGTCAAAGGTCACTGTCATACCACACAACTCCAGACTTCATAGAGTAAATAGGACAATTTCACCCAAATGTCTGAGAGGAAGTAACAACACTTTAGACAGACATGGATGTAACCTGAAATTTGACTTGTTGGTGGAGGCATGTAATAATGAGGCGGTTATTCTAGTTAGATGTATTTACTTCAACACACAGCTTAACCCTGGACAATGTATTGCTTGCTTCCATCAGATTCAACGAGAGTCCTATACCTTTGACTATTGCAGAATTATTTGTCCTGTAAATGAATACCAATTGTCCCACTGAAACCAAAAGCCAGATGTCAGTGGGACTTTAAAGTATGGGTAAAGTCTTTGGATGGAAGCTAGACACAGCGAGGCGGTGTGTACAAAGCAATAGTTTTTCTATGGGTCAGAATACACATACAATTGTTGTTCTGCATCGCTGGAATTCAGTAATCAGAACTACATTTTTCTTGCTCGCTCGACCTTTACGTCTAACCCTGTACAAGGAAGTGATTAATTCCAGAGAGTGATTGTGTAGTGTAAGACTTTGAAAGACAGACGTAACAAAACTTTCATGACAATGTGAACTTTTCTGGCTTGTTGGTCCTTGTCTACTCCTCAAACCTCCTTCACCTCTTTTAGACATTACATTGAAATCTCACCCCTCCCACGGAATCACCCTAAATTAGACCCTCCCTCAGCCCTTTCGCACTCCTATTTCATTAATGTTTTTGGTGAAATGCGTCATTTTCAAAGTGTTTTGAAAGTAAAAAATAACACAAATGTTTTCCTTAACTTGGTATTTTTAACTTTTACTATCATTATATTCCTATCATCAAATGTCTTGTTTAACTTGCGTTTGACTTGAATTGTCTCTTCACTCTTCAAGTTTGTAAAGATTAGCTATCACCCTCTGTATATAGTGGAAAGACAGTTGCCTACCTTTGATTAATAGACCTGCACAACAAATATGTAATGAATGAAGACTGACTGTGCAGTTTATGTATGACTTTGGCAGAAAGACGTAACAAACTTTTCCTGACTTCCTTTTCTTGACTTCCTCGTCAAACCTCCGTCACCTCTTTTTGACATTAAATCTAAACTCACCCCTCCCACTGTCTCACCCTAAACTAGACCCTTCCTCACCCCTGTGTGTCCGTCCACACCACCTGCAGTGCTCCTCCTTATCCCTGAAATCAAACGCACCTCCAGTGTCTTCCAATCTCTTGCACTTTTCCCACGTCAGCCATACACACACACACACACACACACACACACACACACACACACACACACACACACACACACACACACACACACACACAGTTGGAGCGGCAGGCTCTCTCTAATGACGTCCTCGGAGTATAATTAGTCTGGCCAATTAACAGCAGTAACGATGCTTGCATTCATTATGTCAAATTACAGTGTGCTGACAAAGTGTCAACTCAGCTCTGCTCACCTGCTGCGGTATCCGAGTGTGTTTCTGCTACTTTATTAAATCCTACTTCATCACTCCAAAGATGAAGAATGTGCTGCCTGTTTCTTCTTTATATTGCACACACACACACGCACACGCACACGCACACACACATTCAATTAGCACACCAGCAGTATATCTGTTATTCTTGTTGTCGTGGCGATGCTCTTGTGGCCACGGATGAGACCCGTGAAACCGGTTGGATCAGTACATTGCATTATTAAATCATGGATATTGATTTTCTGTACGTGTGTATGTACACGGTGTTATTAAATGCTATAACTTACTATGAGTCAGATGGGATGTTGGTAGCTGTGATCTGTGTGGCATGAGATCTAATTTTGCATACACACGCACACGCACACACACACACACACACGCACACGCACACGCACACGCACACACATACACATAACTCTGATGAATGTGAGGTAGAGGAAGGCGGGGCTAGGAGAGGCTGGATTTATCTTAATTAGCATCTCGGCCCTCTGGAGGTAAATACTCTGCTGGGAACACAAGGACACACACACACACACACACACACACACACACACACAATACACACATTACAAACACATATACATATACATATACATATACATATACATATACATACACATACAATACACACATTACAAAGACATATCTTACTTGAGCAAAGTATAAGAGTATTATTTACACCATTTGCTTAAGCTCCTTTAACACATGCACTGAAATTATCTGGACATTACACGTACATTAGGAGTTATATGTGGGACGCAAATGTCTGAATCATTCAAACCAGATATCAAACACACTTGTCTCTGATTAATTTAAATAGTAGTACAATATCAATGACATATTCTATCGAGCCCATATGTAAAAACAACCGCTCATTGTCTGGATAATTAGCAGAGAGTGATTGGACATGATTTTTTTGTGACTGAAACTGAAGGCTGGCTTAAAAAAGGGACAAAATAAAATAAAAATGGTGTCTGAAGGAGAACAGGCATCCACATTTAAAGGTATACATTAGTGTTTAACTGGAGAGATGATGAGATTTAGGAATTTGTTTGATTTCCTTTCAAGACAAGGACTACGTAAGTACCTAAAACTTGCATTCTCTCAAATATCAAGCTGGTGACGCCGTGAAGAAGTCAACAAGAAAATTGAACCTATACCACATGGTGTGGTCCAGTTTGGTGTTGTAATATTATAACTTTAAACCTTTAACAATATTTTCACTTCATTAAAACTAATTGTAATATTTTGGTTGTCTACTTTGGCCTATACTTTGCATCTGGTTATTCTTTCCCCGCCCCTCTCATGTCCCTTTGGTTGAAAAACTTGGTGCTTCAAAACCATAGTCTATTAAATAATGGGTGAGTTCACATTAACTACGTACATTCCTTAAACATAATCATTGTTCCCGTGTCTGACCTTCAAAGCTTGTAAAGGCATTTGCAGTTATGTATGCAGAACAACATTTACTGTCTTAATCCCAATGAAGTAACATGTCAACCAATGCAACAGTACATTATGTCTTCTATACAGTTCAATAGTATTGGAGTAACAATGGAGTTCGTAGAAACATAAGCTAAATTAAAAGCAAATGTACTTAATTGCTTTCCAGCACTGGACAATTATACATTCTTATTTATGCATATAAGCTCATGCATATGCCAACACACGCACTTAAACACAGTCTTGATCCGAGCAAAGGACGGGAACCTGAGCAGTCCTCTGATAGGCAATTAGCTGCTGAAGTGACATAGACACGCACGCAGAGCCTCTGGTAAATACACAAATACAAGTACACACACACACACACACACACACACACACACACCAGAGGCAGAGCTGGCTTGCTCTCTTGATAGGCAATTAACTTACTTCAGACACCTCATCAGCAAGTGAACAAAAATCCCCCTTTAATCGGACACACAAACACGCACACGTCCTCACAGCTTTGCATATGCAGTGTTCACTGAAGCATTGATATGCAGCGTGAGCTGGAGAATCTGTTCCCTTTGCTAGCGCCTTGGCATCGCTAAATTTCAAATGCACATACACAAACACGTTCAACCACACACTCTCTCCTCCAGCCATCGGAGGGATCAGGGGGCAGATTATTCGTCAGGAGTCCTGCTGAGTTAAGTAATCACACTCGTGTGTTTAATCACTAACGAGAACCTGATGATGC